GAGGATTCCATCATATCTCCTTAAAATCACCTCGTGCGAGATGATTATAGCAGTGGCGCTAAATTTCAAAATGGTTACCTCGCGTTTTGCTATTGTTACCGAGGAGGTGATAAACGCGATCGTAGAAAATTTAACTCCGAAGAGAAAAAAAGATACCATTAAGTTGGTGTAACACTTCTCCAAAGCACCTGAGCAGTTATACTAAAACATTCACTCGCCTCAGACTCAGTAAATAGTTTTGAATAATCTTTTCGACTTCGTATGGGGGAATTGATCAACAATACTCACTCCGAATAAAAAGTGTACTGAGATGTTTTGCAGATCTTTTCTTTTCTTTTCTTTTTTTTTTCACTAGTACAGTACAACTGCATGTAAGAAAATAAAATGAAGACACCGAAAACCGCAAAAGGAATGTAAGTCAATTATGGGGTTTACTGGCTAGATCTTCTGGAGCCTCAATTAAAAAGCTGCACGTAACGTTGTTAAAAAGCTGCGTTTATCAGTTTCGTCAGGCGAGATAAAACTTAACAGATCTTTTCATTCTAGAAGAAAAAAAAAAAACGATAAAAAAAGACTTACTTCTCTTTTTAACCATTTCAACTTCACTCAGTCGATTTGGAAATTCAGAAATATATCTCTGCTGGCCTAAATAATTTTTTACCGGGCATCAGTGATACTCACGGTGTGATATCGGTAGGACATCTCAACAGATAGATAGTCAGTTTGTATCACGATTAGTTTTTTAAAACACCTTACCTTTGAAACTGTTTGTTATTCACTTGTCTTTACGTGTGATGGAGCAATTTCCTTAACACCACGACAAACAGATAATTAAAATATTAGTGCATTCACTGCACACCTACAGGTTGACGGTGCCAACGATTTCATTCAAATTATAATTTCTTACTACATCTTTTATTAAAAACTCGTAAATTTGCGTGTAAAAGAAAAAACTGGACAAAAGTGCCACCAGTAATAGATTGAAATTTTGTGGGCAAAACTAAATTTTGAAGGTTGTTGGTTACATCACGTTAACTTTCGTCTTTTTTTTAAGTTTATGCTAAAATTTTTACTCGGTATTAGCGTTTTGTGTTCGCTCAAGCCTTGAATGATAGCATAATGCATCTATCTAGGGAAATTACATAAAGCACCTAGGTCTTCAGCTCATGAACACACTTGAGTGCTTTATGTGTCGCATTTGATAGAGGGTGGCTTTTAAGGCTAACGGTTAAAATTCAAATAATTTTTTTTTCGACTATCGTTTAAAATTTGTCAATTTTGACGGCTTTCGGTAAATCCCTTTGAGACCTTCTTGATTAAAAAATAAGCATAAAGCGAATCTTTTTTTAATTCTAAACTGAGTAAAGCTCACTTTCTTTCTTTTTGTGGCTTAGCCCAACTCGTATTCGATGAAAATGGTCGCCGAAAATAAAGAAGATTTAGGAACAAACCGACCTGTTGTGTTTATATGAAGAATGAGAGAAAAAAAAAACAGAGCTTATGCTCAAGTTGAAACGATATCGTCACACATAGTTAGAAGCAGTTCAAGTGGACCCCACCACCTCATCAACCTGTTTCCATGGTTCACTCTCCTCTTGCTTCGGTAAAGAAACCTTCTCGAACGAGGAAGAGAGACGAACCTGGGAACGAGGTGGCCGTTTCATGAGATATGAATTCGTATGCTCTCAACACAGGTAGCTAGTATTCTTGTAAATGTTCCTTTTTATTAAATGGTCGTCCATAGGGCTGATAAAAAAAAATAACGTTCCCGCTGTCTATCCATTCTCTATCTCAGTTGCCAAGGTCACTTTCCAAGTGCAGAAGATAAGCAACGGGCTCGTATAGTGACAAAAAATACGTGGGTCTTTGATAAATCAGATTTTGATCGAGTCTGAGATTAAAACAAAACTAAAAATGAAACGTTTTATCTACTTTATGTCATGGCATGGATCAGATTGATCGAGATCGAAAGTTGTGGAAAACAGAAGCACTTTCAATTTTACTAATTTCCCTTATGAACGAAAACTTATGCTTTGACGTCATATTTGATCAGTTGTCATACATCTTTACATCATTTTCCAAGGGTAAACTGCATCTCAAACTCTGGGCCATTTTCGCTGATTTTCTATATGTTAAAAAAATAACAGAATGATGATCTCATTTCATACGGCTTAATAATTAAGGGCGTACTTGAAATTGTACTGAAAGACGATACATTCAAAGAGAAATTTTCGACACTGAGAAAACTTAATTCTGAAAAAGCTGTTTTGCATATTCTCCATTTTTAACTGAATTTCTTAAATCTCTTAGAAAATGAAGTGGCGCTTCGAGCCTCTTTGAAAATCGGTTCGGCAAACTTAGATTTGGAAAATATAAAAAAAAAACACCTTTTTTTTTCAAACCTTATATAAAAACCTTATATAAACTAAAAGCTTACCGTTTATCATTTAAATTGGGTCGAATAGGTTCGATCTGTCACACGAAATGTTTTTTTTTTAATGACAGGAAGTTAAGTTTGAACCTGGTTTAGATAATAACGTTTTGAACTTTTTTTTTCATCCCAAAGATGAAAATAGGGTGTAGACAAAACTGAGAAAATAGAAAAACGCAAGCTTTGCGAAAGTATCTGCATTAACATGTTGTTCAACCTCTGCCTAAAATTGCTTTCGAAAGAAATGTAGGAGGCCAGTTACGGAAAATATTTTGTTAACTTATCCTGCGACATTTCCTATATGGGGCAAAAATAATTTTTTCTGCTGCACAAGATTTAAGGTTGAAAAATTCAACAACTTGTTTCTTAAAACTGGCACACAAAGATTTGTCAAATTGATCCTGGCTTAAAATTGTTTATAGATAAAACCGGTTCTGATTCCGTATGGGAAGATAACTAACAATGAAGATTTACTTACAAATGATTCCAGCGGTTAGAAATGATAACTATGTGCCTATCTTGGTTTATTACTTTCACTTGCTTGCTCCTGTCTGCAACATCGACATACAATGTTATGCGGATTTTGTTAATTGAAAATCGTTCTAAAACGTTTTTCGCAATCTCGTCGTATCTTCAAATCTGGAGTGTTTACCCATAAAAAGTAAACATTACGCTTAATTTGTGCGCAAAAAGTGACAATAGGGGCCCGCTTCCACTACTAGTTGACAGAAATTCACTCATATGCATTTTCATTGTTTTACTTTCCATTTGAGTTTCCAAATTCTAGACTCGATCAGTATCGTCAAAAAGATTATCTTTTTATTATCCAAGTAATGAGGAAGTCTTGTTAATTAATTCTCAAAGTTTGTCTGGTAAGGTAAACTTTACAGAGAAGCTGCAAAAAAAAATTAAACTTTTGTCTCAAATGTAAATACGAAAATACAGCTGAAGAACCGAAGTTTAAAAAACACATTCACGTACACAAGTTTAAAACACTGGATTCATCTTAAATAACTTATTCGCAGTTTCGCGAGCTGCTACGCTCTCAAAAATAAACAGTTTTTTTTTCTTGAAAGATATCTATATCTTCGGGATTTACTTTAGCTTTATATTTTTCTCTCAGAGGTAATTTCATTTTGCGAAGAATACCCTCGAAAATTAAGTTGTCATTTCAGTACAGGCAAAATCTACATTAATTACGAAACAGCTCTTGATCTCTTTTGTTCTTTTCATGAGGGTTCGTTTGCGTATCTGTTCATCTGGACCAGTTTTCAGGTGGTTTTTCTAACCTTTTCACACGATGATGAGAAGAAGGAGACAGTTATCAACCTGTCTTTCATTAAAATCAATTTTACAGGAAAAGTTGTTTAAACAACTGCTGATTTCAGTAAATCCCTCGGAAATTAAATGAAGCTAACATGGCGAGTGTCGTGTAATCAAATCACAAATGTACGTCATCGCGAAAAGCTTTCGTAATGCGTCAGAAGATAATACAACCGCTTGTGAGCGATATAGAGCTTTTAGCCAATTGCCAAAATGCTATTTCCTGTTTGCCAGGTCACCATCACAGTGATAAACCGTTGGTACAAGCAGTTGGAGCTGCGGAGTTTTCTTGAGTAGCAAACCATACTCAATCACGTGAAAACGTTGTTGCGAAAAGGCGATTTTCTAGAAGCGGTTCGAGTCGTAATTTTGCGGCACTTCATTCATGAAAAACTCACATCACCTAATTCATGCTACTTCATGATTCAGTCTAAGATATAATCTAACACTAAAAATCACAAGCATTATTTCCTTTTAATTACTGGAAGTTCAACAATGCTTTGGGCTGTTTACAAACTTTCACACTTTTGACTGTCTCCCATATTCACTACTGCAAGATAATCTCACGTACGCGGGCTAAACAAAGGCTCGATTATCAATATTAAAACTTAAATTTAAGGTGTTTACTAATGGAATAAAAAGAGAATGAGCCATTATTCTCCGTTATTTCAATTCTGTTTCACTGTTTGCAATGTACAACCGAAAATTAAAAGGAACGAACTGAACTGAGAGGCAAATTATTAATCATTTTGAACTAAAGATGCTACTCTTCTGTTAAAAATATAGGGATATAAACAAGAATTTTAAGCCGTTTCCTCTACAAGTGAAGTTTACATCTCTTTAAAATCTTATTTTAATACACAAGTTTAAATTCAAGCTGGGAATTTTGGAAAGTTTAACTGGAAGATAAAATGTTACCCTAATCCACAAAACGCAGTATCGGTACAAAAAACGTTACAAGTGCGTGTGAATTTTTCTTTCAATTGTTGTATCTGTGGTCAGTTGTAGTTTTACAAAACCAAAACCGTGCCATGCTTTGAAGCAACGTTTGGGGACGGAAATTAACTCGTAACCTTTGCTTATAAGGTGCTGAGAGAAAGAGACTTTCTTGACAGATGCGATGATCGTTAAGGCTTAAGAAAAACCCCTTACTTTTCATAAGCTAATTACCCAGCAATCGCACTCACTCACTCATTCCCAGTCACTCTTCAGTCACTCCAAGCCTCTATTTCATACCAAGGCTCGGTTACATTTTACGATAAAACCTTTATTTCAGTCTTCAGTCTCGACACAAATTACAAGTCCGAGGGCACATTTTGGCCATATGTACATAACTGTCACAAAATTCAAGATGTTTTTGACACATTACAGGATCCTGGTCTCGGCAAGCTGCAAAGGAAATAAAATGCACATAAATTAACACAAACCAAGAGGAATTAAATAGTCTTTATGTCAAGAAGGTGGCATTGCAAGGAAGCTATTATCCAAAATGTCGACCAAAACATAATACTTATCATTAAACTCGTTTCTATTGTCTCTCTTCCAACCCTCCCCCACCCCCCCTGAAAAAAGAGTGCGAAAGGAAAATACAGGTTAGGAGCGAAATACTAAGTCGAGAAAACTGTAAAGTTTAAGCTTAGCTTGTAAGAAATATTTCTCCACTTTGTATGGGACTTCGAAACTTTTCCAATGGTAATTATCATAACGACTGGTCAAGAGTCGACTAGTCATTATACATATTTCTCGACTGATTAACTACTCAGGCTTGACCAAATAAAGGTCCTCCGAGGGTTGGTATAGAATTCTTGTAGAATGATGTTTAAAATTTTCAGCTACTATTTTGGACAAGTATGGTCCATTAGGAATAATGATGTAACATATGTACTTCGCTTATTACCATCTGGAGGTTGATCCACTTCAATTTTGTACACGAAGTTAACATCCTTGGCACCCGCACAGCTCGATGAAACTCTTGCGCATGGCAAAAAGTCGTGACCGAAGCAGTAATTTGATTGACCATCAGAATTGTAGGCAACATCCAGGTTCTCACCAGCCCAGCACTCTGCCCAAAATTGAATTCCGAAATATGCACAACCATCAGTGACAGTCTTGTTCGCGCATGCGCACACAAAGCTGAAGAAGGAAAGAAAAATTAAGGGGTGCTTGATTTCAATAAAATTTTAGTCAATCTTGATTGTAAATAATTCGGTATTACAGGGAGCAAATGAATTAGAGTTAACTGTATTTTCAGTTGAATAAACCTTGCAATTGGAGCGGGGAAAGGACACACCGACCGCAGGGAACCACATGGGGCAAACTAAGTGAAAATGTCCGGAAAACACAAAGACACCTTACGCAAGAAGCATACTTTTATAGCAACTTCTTATTTTCTGTTCAACACCAGATACTTTGAAACCCAAACAATTATTTACCCTTGAGTAACGATTTAGGACAGTAATATAGATGACATGATTATTTTTCTGAATTATCTGCTACTTACCGCTCAAGAAAATTGTTCCAGTTTTGCCAATCTATGTTTTTCCTTTGGTCGAGAAGCATGTTTCTAAATGGTCGACGTTTATCTACAAAGCATCCTACCTTGCTATAAGAAACTCCGCATTTTTGAAGCGCTGTACATAGAAGAAGAATTATATCAGATTAGTATATACTACTTATACAAATAGTACTCTTCTCGCGCGTTGATTGGCTGGTTCGAAAGTGATTAGCGTTCACTATTCACCTCCACTTCTTTGAATAATTGTTAAATATTGACATTTTCGACAAAATTAGAAATCCAGAAAGGGGGTTCAGGCGTCTTTCAGATCATTCGAGATTACTTATGTATGTAACAAGTCTTAATAAAAACCTAATAGCCTTTGTCTCAGTCTTCAAGACTAACCCACTTGAGTTGTAATAAGTAAAGGTATTTAGCAGATGATTTGATACGATTTGAATGACTAACTTTCAGTTTTATTTGACTCGTTGACAATGGAATAAGCAGAATTTATCCTTCTCGAATTTTTCAAAGAACTGGCGAAATACGCCTAGATTAGAGAGCTGTGAAACATGCAATCATTAACTAACCGTGTATGTACCTTAAGAGAAACTCGAAAGTAAAGGCTCGATGGAGGAGAAGTTTACCTGAGTTCGTGCCTCTGCTATAAATAATCACCATCATCATTACAAGTGGTAGTTCTACAGTGAACGTGAGGTTAGCATTGGCCATGGCAAGAAAATATCTTCCAAAGAAATTAAAACTGATCAGAGTCAATTAAGAGAAATTCTTCCAAAAAATGAACCTTCTAAAAATTTACTCCTTTTCATCATTATTAAATGAATTTTTTTTTACAAACCTCGCTACCAGAACGTCAAAACCTGACTTGTTTGGTATTTGATCGAAGATTTGAAAGAGTTCGAGTTTTGGTGGCAGATTTTAGAATTATAGCTCTCGGGTTAGCCGCCGTTTTCGGAATCAAGGCATCACTTCTTTTGAACCACACGAAAGTGACGCTGTTTATGATGTTAAACGAGCCGAAAACGACAATGAAATAGCGGCACCTTATTTGATCATGCTTGCTAAGAAATAACCTGTCTGGAATACAAATATTACTACAATATCAATTTAAGACATATTGCGCTTTTGTTGAACGGTTCAGTGGCCTTTATTGAATGCCTCAAAATGGAAAATTGTGTTTACATTTATTATTATAAACGTTAAATTCAATATGAAAATCAAAATTAAATCTCACCATTTTTTCGTTTATCTGGCAAATAATCACGCTCCACTCAATATACCAAAGTACAAGCGGATATAAACAGTTTATAATCGCTTGCAAGGAATTATCATATCGGTCAGGCCTTGTTAAAACATCACACTTCTCATGTGCCGTATCAGATCTTTCACTTGAGCTTATGAGAAGTCCCGTTCGACATTTGAATAAATTATAATCAATTCCGACAGGCAATTTGATTTAACGAGGCAAGTCGAAAAAAAAAAACACTAAGGTGCTAGATGGTCAAATTGACCAAATTAATTCATTCCACGCGCGCATGCGTAGTCGAGGGCTAGGTAGGCATGTCTGTGTTATACAGACACACCTTTACCTGGCAACTAAATGAAAAAAAAAAGTCTGGGTACTCGATGGAAAAAAAAAAAAGGTCTGGTGCTGATTAAGGAAATAAAAGAGGCAACGAAATCTCGTCTGTGAAAGATCCAAAGTTTACTTGAACGTTATTCTGACGCTTGGTGACCTTTTAATTGCATTTTCTAAGAGCCCTAATTGAACAGTAGAAAAGAGAATTTTAATCCAATTATGAGAGTTCAACGGAGTGCAGCGCAGGTCATTTGATTTTGTTCTCTCTTTGCAGCCGATTCAGTGGAGGTTCTCGATGCTGTCAGGCTGAGCATCACGGGGTTTTCTTTCCCGCCTTTTTCGAATCAGGGAAGAGCTCGGCACTCTTCTTGACTGCGCGGGAAAATAGATGGCAGTCATTCTTTTCTTCACGGTCACGTTAATGATAAACCATCCCTAGCGTCGTGAACAAAATATAAGTTCACTGAATGATGAAAAGTTTAAATTCGGTAAAAAAATAGCTTATAATGATTGACACGGTAAAGTGCTTTGCGAATTTACGGTCCCCTCAGTTGACAAAACGCAGACATTTTGTTTACGAAAACCCAGTCATGATAGGCTAAGCAAACTCCTGCAGTCTTCAAGTGATCCTCTCAAGTGCCCCAAACAGGCTGTATTTGTGTGGTGCTGATCTTCGGAAATTTTAATCCAATTAGCTGTATGGGTGTTGAGGAATTAAGTAAAATGTTGCCAGACTTTAATTCTTACGATTTTTGCGATATTTTCACGTCCAAAACATAAGCATGTACAAATGTCTCGTTACTACGTATAAAACATTTGAAACTCCTCTGATTTGCCAAGTTTGATAATCGTCTTTAAATTGGTGAGGAATGGATAAACTCTTGAGAATTTTAAGTGTCCTTACATCAATTTTTTTATCAATTCTCTTGCGGTCGAAGAATAGTTGACGTCGTGAAGAAACCCAGTTTAATGCGTTCCGGAAGCTGCCAAGAAATAGTTTCTTTCCGTTAGCAGTTCAAAATTTGTGATAAGGTTTGCCGATTGATCATAATTTGGGAAGCAGACTGTTAAAAAAATGAGACAATGAACCCCAGTGAAATCAAGTTTAGTCAAGTAAGGTTATTTTGAGACTCGGAACATGGCCTGTAACGGAAGTGGTGAGAGACGTGCATAGAAGCAGTGATTCTAGATAGACTTCTCACCTTCAGCCTTCAGCCGTTCTTACGCTAAAGTTCACACAGTTGTATTCACTTTGGGCAAAGGAGTTTTGATTAGACCATTTCCTTTACATTTTGATTACAGAATTCACATAAATGATGAGTTTATTCTTGCCGTTCGCAGTTGCCCCAAAGGCTACGCCGAGAAGTTGCAACAAGAGTTTTTAACTGAAAACCACTTTATCGCAACAACTAGACGAATACAAGTTAGGGCTTCTGAAAACCTGATCAGTTCGGAGAAAAGATCACAAGCATCCAGTGTCTGAATAATTAAACGCCGAGGCATGCAGTAGCTCGAGAGACGAGCTGCTTGAACCCCGACCGACAACTTGGCCATGTAGAGATGTAGATTTATTGCTTTAAGGTTACTTAGCGAAACGTTACCAATGCTTCGTATAATTCGAAACAAGATATAATTTACAGTGTAATGATACAGCCCTTCTGTTTTAAATATACAAACAAAATTTCATCACTCGTCATGAGTTCCGAAAAGAGTTTGAAGAGGATGACGACAGGGATGGTTCAAATGCGAGATAATCTTGGACTTCAATTTCATCCGTCTAATTGAGTAAGAGGAAGTGGTCTCCAGCTTAGACGATTGACTGACAGCTAAATCCGAGTACATTACATAAATCCCTTATTTCCGCGGACTATTTTTGAACGGGTTTGGTTTTCAAGCGCGGAAGCTTCGCTTGGATGTTTCGTTCAGCAATAAAAAAATTGCTTAAAAGAACCTAAAACGTCATTAAATACAAAACAATACGTGATTTTTTTTAGAATAACAACGGATTCTTTCTGAAGAAGGTAGATAGAGAAATAGACACGAAATTTGCGGCTGTAAGCATGATTTTTGCGGTGTTGTAACAATACGTACTGGATCACTCCTACGGAAACTTAGATTACTGTGAGGTACGCTATTTTGGGAAAGTGCTTCGCCGGATGCAAAATTTGTCTCAGAAATAGACTTAGCATGGATTCAGAAAAATAAAAGCTAATCACTCTGCATGATGGGAAGGTATTTTAGAGTTTGACGATACATTAAAGCTTTCACAAATTAATTAAACCTGAAAATTTTCATGTTGCTCATCAGCTGTAGTTCATCTAGCGTTGTACCATTGCCTCTTTCGAAGGTCTGAGGTGATGACTTTTACGGCTAACGTTAAAAATTTGGCCATGTTACAGATCATGGTTAATTCTTTTCAAATATTGTTAGGAGAAAAATTTTCACGACTGACTGTTGAAACTTGTCAATTTTTGCGTCTAACGGCTTAATCTTTCTGCAGTCTTACGGCTAACGGCCAAAGCCATTGAGACTCGCTCTTTAGTGTCTCTGTCTTATCGATCCATTATTATGGTGGTCTCCTTGCATTCGGAGGAGACCACCATAATTTGCCTTATTGGCTTACTTAAGATTCATGACACAACTCCGTAAGGGAATTACGAGAGATATAATTTAATTGGACGTGCATGCAGAATTTCAGGCAAAGCGGCCTAGGTAATTACCTATTTTTAGATCAGTGGATATGTACCGCTCTTTGGAGTTAATTTGACAACTGCCTTGACTATCGATGGCAAACGAAAGGCAACTTTTTAACCCTGCTGACTCGATGACTTGAAAATGGAGCGAGCTTCATAGCAGGAGTATATGTAGGGACGCTATGCAACGATTTTATACACGAAGAATGGCTAACGTTTGCAACTGACCAAGATCATCGGTGTAATTGGATTTTTTTAATGGTCGAAATGGTTAAATTTGAGGGGGGGGGGGGCAACTCGATAATTCTGATCTTTGGAAGTCGTGAAAGTGAACCACGGTGATTCAGATCAATACTTCGGTCTCTATATTCGTTTATCATTAACTGAATAAAAAACAACATTATATTTCTCTTAAAACAGGTCAAACAATTTGTGCGTTTTCAATTTTGTCGTTTTTAACTTTACTTATCTCATCGCTCAAATTTTTCCCAACGAATCTTTACTTTTAAGTCAGATGTAGTTTTCTGGAAATTGTGCTTTGATGAGCGATGATATCACGATGATTCAATATCCTTTATATATGTTTCAACTACATGATATTTTATGAACGATTTAACCAGATACGATTTCTATGAAAAATGTTGTTCTGATTTCAAAGCTTTAGTAATTAATTAATAATCAATTAATTAATAATCAAGTAATTAATTTTCTCAGATTCCTTTAACAATCTCAAATTTGTCCACTTGAGCCATAAAATACCTACCTTTCCCAATTCGTTCAAACATTCATCGTAATGGCAAAATGTTTGTCTTGTGTGGTTTGTCTTGGTACGAAAATTCAGTTAAAAAAACGAAACAGGAGCAAATATACAAGCTTAACCAATAGATACCTTTCTCCCATAGATCGCATGACATTTGAACGAAAAACTCTCCTGCGTAAATGTTCATGCTCACAGACAGGAGGAAAAGTAATCTTTAACTTAAATAAATTTATTATTTACCAATAATCTTGTTTTCTAAAGCATTTTTCGCAGCACTTCTTTCAATATCTCTGAAGAAAAT